ATTTTCTATTTTGTTTTCCATTTCTGCACATCTCTTAAAATTACTACTTTTATACCACACAACAACTTTTAAGCATGTTTTCTTTCTTACTTCCTGGAGTTCAATAACTAACTCTTAGGTATTCTAATCTCTCCTAAGACCTGGCACTTTTCTTGTTCTGTTTCTTTTCTATGCTAGCCTATTCGGGTCTGCCCTGCCTGATCTCAGGAAGCTGTAACCCTCCAAGACTTAGGCTGAGTAAGAGGCCTCCGAACCAGGAGACACTAAGGAGACAAAATATTTCTCTGGCATGAACGCTGCTTGTTCTGTGCCTGGCCCCCAATGCTTGATCAGTTAGCCAATGATGGGTAAGATTTCCCAAGGGAGGAATCATCTAAGACAGGCATGATCACATAGAGGTCTCAGGGAAGGACTTGGGGGGCTGTGGAAATGAAGGGGTGATCCATATCGACCCCTGCTCCCTTGGCTTTGCCAAAGACTGAGTCCTTGTTCTTAGTTATGAGAAATCCAAGTCTCCTGGCTGCCTTTGTCTCCTCTGCCCGACTCAGGCCTGAGGAAATAACAGGGGCGGTGCAGTCCAGACCAGAGTCAGCGGACCCCTGGTGTAATCAGGCCTGTGACATAGAATATGCAAGATCCTGAGATATGCCTGCTGGAGGATGCTCTTGAATTAGAATATGAAGGCACAGGCAGGAAACAAAACTAGCCTTTAAGGTCCTGTAGTCTTTTTAAGTGATAAAACCCCAAACTCTGCCCAGAATCCCAGTGGGAGATCTGCCAGTGCCTTTGAAAGCTACCTATTCCTTTTGATCTTCCCTGCCTGACTGTAATCCACAAACTGTATCTGTATTTTTAATGAAAGCCTGCTTGGGTAGGAGAATGAGGCGCTCTCCACTAGAGAGAGTGGCCATTTCGTACCTATTTCTCCACAGAACTCGGTTGTCTGTGTGTCTGTTTTTCTCGTGTTTCGACGAGCATCTGCAGCAGCGATAGATACCACTGGGCTGGTATCCGTCTCACTAGCCTGTTCTTGTTTTATGAGTATATCTTCTAAACTCCTCTTAAGGATATTAATGATAATATTTTTAGAGATACACTTCTCTGAAATGTCTGTTTCATCTGGTGTCAATTGATGTGATATTTGTGTATCTGCGTATATCAGACATATGTCTGATTATCCTGTGGTCTGTTTGTATATAAATTTGAAGAACTTGTTGGATTAACATAAGTATGTCTTCTTATCAACCTGTTTGCTGAATGAGAAGGGTCTTACTTAACATTGTTTGTGTATGGTGAAATGTTGATAAGTTGGAGTCATTTAAGGAAGGATATGTGGGCAGGTCAAGGTTGGAGAGTAAAGAATAAATTCAGGGAAGCCAATTTAATGGAACCAAGAAAGCTTACTTGCATTACTTCTGTTTATGGCTCTACCATTAGGAAAGGCCCTGATGTCAGCTACAGCCTTCTCTTAGGCAGGCTCTGAACTGCAGATGCATGTGCTCTGACTTAGTCATCACTAGGATTCCAATTGTTATCCATTTTCAGGATATTCATGCTTTTATGAGTATATTTCTTCCTCTTTATCTTTTGAATGAATTGGAGGAGGGGAAATATTTAATCTACTGTTGTGAAAAAGTAGCCCACTGGTTCAAAATCTATAGATTATAAATGTCTAGCAGGGGTGATCTAGCAGGAAAAGCATGGGCTTTGGAATTAGGTGAATGGAGACCATAGAGAAACTCAAGACCCTAGACAGTGTTAATTAAAATGTGTGTTCTAATACATAAGTTTAGAAAAATAATCTTGTCTCACCATTTCCATCACCATTTACCCCCCCACACCCTCTTCCACCTCCACTCACCCCCGACTCACCGCAATCGCCACACTGTTGTCCTTGCTCATGAGTTCTCTTTTTTATCTTTCTTGTTTGATCCCTCCACCCACCCAGTCCCCCTCTACAGTTGTCATCCTGCTCTCTATCTATGAGTCAAATGAACAAGATGAACAAGCAAAATAAAGACAGACACATAGATAGAGGGCATTTTTGCTATAAGCATATCTACAGTGAACAGCTAGTCCATAAGCAAATTGTAGGAACTCAGCATTTTGGGGATGAATAAAAGCAGAAAGTTTCAGGAGGGACTCTATGTTTGTTTATTTGTTTTTCATTATAGTATTTCTAATCAAGTTTTTCTCACATGGATTTAAAAAAATCTTTCTTTTAGGGTGAGTAAAGAGTTCAATTAGGTTGTGATTTTTATATTTCTAATGTTATTTTAATCATTTCTAACACTTTTTAGTATTTATCCTTGACTTACACTTCATTTTTTAATACATGTTGCTTCTTAAAACTGAGCTTGTCAAATATAGCCTTGTATAGGGTCTCTGCTTCTCACCTTCATCAGCATAGTTATAAATGTAATTGAAAATTGTTTTTAATTAGAAAAAAAGTTTTAGTAATTATTGGAAATTTTGTTTTCATAACTTAGTGGTCTAATGCAAAGATGTTTGCTTATTGGCATTGTTCTACACTCTTATTATGTGGAACATGACATAGGAATTGGATGATAAGAGGAAAAGAGTATCTAATTGCTAAGCATAATAATAGAGCTCAAAAAAGTTGGCCTGCCTTTTAAAAATCTCAGACTGATATGATTTAGCCTTTAATTCTAACAAATTAGTGAAAGAGGATCAGATTATTTGGCTAGACTATTTCTTCAGCTACTGAATATTATGGTGCCAGAGCTGAAATGTCACTTCAGATAAGTATTTTAAATTAACCTAAACAATGTAATTCTTTGTTCAATAAATTAGCTTAAATTCCAAATGTGCAGTTTGTTATGTTTGCAAAGGATAGCTCTGTTTCTTTGCTTAGCCCACTCTTCAAAAGAGCTCACATAAAAAAAATATTAGAAATGCTAGAAACATTCAAGTTTTCAAAATACAATATTGAATAAAAAAGCATACACTATAGTACACCAATTATCTAACAGATTAGGAGAGAAAAAATTTTGGGACAATTCTGCTTTGGTTGTAATTCACAGATTACTTTTTATTAGATATAAAACGTTAAAGAAATAATTACAATGTAGTCTGGTAAACTTTGAAAAAATAAATTAAAGATGTTAATATGATCTTATAAGTATTGACCCCTTCTTAAAATACCCATTTAGAATGTTTATCAATCAACTTTCCTTAGCTATAATAATGTATCTTTTGCTCTTATAACATGCAAAAATATTCACTTATTTCATTAAGAATAAAATTAGTGGTTATTGAATACACACTTGGTAATATTGACTGAACACATAGATGGTAAAAAAATTCACTGTGTCTCTGCAGTACAGAGTTCGATAAAGAAAATTACTATTCTCATGGAGCTTATCCTTAAGTTTAAGGAACTAAACATCATACAAGACAAAATTTAAAAAATTAATATGGTCAAATTAAAAGGGCTTATTAAAGAGCACTATTTAATTATTGCCAAGATAATTGCAGGAAAATTCCTGGAGGATTTCACATTTAGTGAAGAATAAGTAGACGAGTATAATAGATGCATAATTTCCGCAAATTAAATAACAATTATAATATCAATAAAAACTAACATATATATTGACCACATATTATGCATTTGATGTTCTTTTAAATACATTATATGTAATATCTCAATTAATTCCTACAGCAATCCTATCAGGTATTATTTATTCCATTTCTCAGGCAGGGTAATTGAAGCGTTGAAACTTGACTAACTCACCCAAGACCAAACCTGTGTAGAAGAGCATAGAAAAGCAATACAAAAGAAGACTACAGTGGCCCCTTAAATGCTTTTATAAGATGGTTTGGTTTTCTTTCTTTTTTTTTAATGAAGTGGGAGGGGTTTAATTGTGCAGCTTGATAATATCAAAACATTCTTATTAAGGCATTAAACTTTACGTTAACTTTTACAGATACTTTCTGGCCATACTTAATCATGAGGGATAAAATAAAGCAAATTCCTCCAGAATTCTCAGAGGTCTGGTGGCAAAACAGGGCTCCAGATGGGAGGAATGTCTGTGACCACTGAGTTGTCAGTTTGGTTTTCTCAAATACTGTAATGGCAACTTATAGAAGAGAGTGATTCCAGTGAAACAAATTAAGGATGCATTGAAAAGGAATGCAGGTGAATAAAAATAGGGGGCTCTAGTTGGAGAGGTTGAAATAGTATGGAAACTTGATGACAAATATCTAAACTAGGAATAATACTAGAGTCCTGAGTAAATTGATGAGGCTTCCCTATTGAGGGAAGAGGTAAGAAACAGAAGATGAATCTGGCTAAAGTTTAAATTTCTATCACACTATTTAAGCAGGTGTAATGCATCTTTTGGGAAAAAAATGTTCCCACAAATTTGCTTTAAGTTTTAAATTTTTTAATGTATTAAGTGCTAAAGTTTTGATTATGTACATTTAAACCATTTAATCCCCGGCCAACACTTGATAACTTATCATGATGTTCATTTTTCAGTTTGCTCTCCAGCAGCTGTTTTCATGAGCGCTTCTTCTCTTCTCTTTTCTTTTCTTTTTTTATTTTGTCTTTTTTTCTTTGTATTATCCACCTGTCTTACTTTCCCTCATCTCTATTCTCCTCCTAAAGACCCAATAATTTACTTTCTAAAAATATTTAAGTATCTATTGTCTTGCTGATTCTTTTATAATTACTTTATAATTTTCAGATTACTTCCTTCTAGTTTAGAAATTAATTTCTCTCATTGTATTCAACTTTTCCCTTAATATAATGCTTCTAAAGTTGTGATTGCTTTCCCTTTCACATACAAATACCTAAATAGTCAGGTCAACTGTGCATGCTTTTGGTACTAAGGATGTTATTTATGTTCATGTCAATAACCCAAATTAGAAGACAATAATTTTGTAGATTTAAAATGAATTCTAAATCAAAATAAGAATTCAAAGGAGACTGAAAATAATACTTTGAAACATGATTATTTTAATATGTTTATGGGAAGAGTAAATTCAGCAGGAAAAAAACAAAACCAAAATTAACATTTTTCAGGTATTAGTCTCAAAGCACAATACATTTTTCACAGAAACAAGTACTGGTATATCACCATTATAGGTACCATAATATGGCAACATTTATACACACAGCCATTTACCATTAGGAAAATCAGTGGCAATGGTGATGCAATATGTTATAATTCATCTTTGTTAAAAGGTTTGCTATAATACTTCCTGGCCTGCAGGAGTATTTGCCAGGATACAAAAGAGGACTTGACGTCAGTGTGAACAATATGCAGAAAGCTTTGGCTGCCCACGCATACCTCACTGTTTATTGAATAATCACTAGGAATGTCACCCTGCCACCACTCTAACTTCATTGCATTTACTATTAAAGCCATTCCTAGAGAATCAAACATTATAATAGACTCATTTGGATATTAAGGAATTACTTTATACAAAATAAGAAGTATAGCATCAGGACTTAATATCCTATATGTTTAAATTTAACAGAAGAGAAAAACTATACACGTAAAAAATGAAAAACAATTTGAGATTATTTGGTGTAGGTAATGGCATACTATTAAACTGGGGAAAATGTAATAACATGGTTTCTTTCATTTTTACAGTTATTATTTTTATCATTATTGTTTTTTAAATATGCCAAATGATTGTCTGAGGGCCATTCACATTCAATGTTTAGATTCATTGTATTAGTGGCATATACAAAGCACCATGTGATATAACATATAAAAGGTAGAACAGTCATGACTATGTAATTAACTGTAGAAATAACTGCTACGAAAATATAGCAATATTCAACACAGGATTTCTAAAACCATTACATATTCATTAATTTTTCCAAAGCTAATAATGTCCCATGCTTTATTTTACAGACTTTGTCTATCAAGATTTATATGTAGTTGGCACTTTAGGTGCAGGGGGGGACTTAAAATAGTTGCTATGTTCTGTACAGTAATTTTACAGTTTTATACAAACTTCAGAAATATGGCATTTAGAATAGTTTTTATGATCCTCTTCCAAGTATTCTATTTCACACAACAGCAAATACTCTGAATGCCTTTCCTCCTGGAGGATTCTGTAAACTGCAAAAATACAAAAAGTATATTGATGTCATCTCCATGTATAATACCTCAATAAATCATTCTTATGACATTCAAGAAAGCAGCTCTATGAATCCAGCTGGCCAACTTTTTAAGGCTACTGTAATGTATAGTTATTGGAAAGCTTGAGTGAGGATAACATAATTAATTCTTTAAATCTTGGTTTTGTGCTGAGCTGCAAGTTCACTAAAGAAACTAAGGCACACAGTGGTAAAATCATATTTTATATAAAACTTCACTGATCCCAGATAATGTTTCATATATTACCACCTTTGATTCTAATAGAGCATAGTTAGCAGCTGTGATTCAGTTTCACTTGGGGAATATGGAGATGCTGCTATTCAGTACTGAGATCTAGGTTTACTTCCTAACTAACATGGTTAAAAATTAACTGCAAGTTAAAGAGATGGTAATATTTAAGCAATATTTTAGACCACTAACATTATCATTTCCTAAGCCTGGCAAAGTTTACATTTTTTGCTATCATACTTATTAATGTTTTAATATCTATAGCTTCACAAAAAGTCTTAGAAAATTTAATGATCAAATCTGAAAGATCTCAATAATTTTTCCATTAAAATGAAAACACACATATAGCACTCAATCTCATTTTGGAGGTATTTTAAAAGAAATTAAAAACAATACAGAATTGTACATTTTACTCCTTAAATTATTTTTATTTTATTTGGCAATATCAGTCAAGGTATGTTTTGTTTAAATGCCTAAAATTTAAAACATATTAATAATACCATTAGTCATTATTTATTTTATAAAAATTATACTTTTGAAGTCTTTATACATTTTGCATGAAGTTTTATTTTCTTAATAATAAAAAAGGTGTTAGGGACTAACACAATGAATTCTAAGGGGAGACAGAATACAATTCCTTTTCTATATTGATTCATGTACAAGGGCAGAATTTTAAAGTTAAAAAAGTATATACAAATATACACACACAGCAAACATACATGCCAGGTTTTATATACAAATAGCCACTCAAAAGCCATTTTATTTGCAGAACACAGATTGACTAAATTCTAGAAATGTGTTTTATTTTTAGGACACAGACTAAGTTCTAGAAATGTGTTTTCTTTGTACACAGTGATAATCCTGGGAAAATGAAGATTTCTGAACCTGAGCTCTGAGACTGACCAGTTAAATGGCCTGGGGCACATCACTTAACCTCTTTGGGTCTCAATTAACATGTCTATAGGTTAGGGCTTATAGAATTGACTTTGTAGGATTGTTTGTGGATCTGAGCTAATATACTTAAAGTGCCCAGAGCATCTGGAAAATTCAGAGCAGATTCTCAAAATAATTATTCTCGGTTTTCTGAGGCTATCACCTATCATCTTATTGTTTTTAAAATAAATTTAGCACTGGCTGGTGTAGCTCTGTGGATTGAGTGTGGGCCTGCAAATTAAAAGGTCACTGGTTTGAATCCCAGTCAGGACACATGCCTGGGTTGAAGGCTAGGTTCCCAGTAGAGGGCATGCGGGAGTCAACCACACATTGATGTTTCTCTCCCTCTCTCATTTCCTTCCCCTCTCTCTAAAAATAAATAAATAAAATATTTAAAAAAATAAATTTAAGAACTAGAACAGGTAAGTAAAAGTATATCACTCAGTTTAGCTTAGAAAACTGTATATCAAAATCTTATAACTCAAGAGTCTACTTTATATAGCATATTTGCTTAAGGAGATAAGCCAGGTTGTAGAGAAGTCACCTTAATGTAGTCTCCTCTGAAAAGAGATGCTAAATATAAATCTCTATTTTTTATGAAGACAGCACCCAGATAGTTTCCTGGAAGGTGAGCTAGATACCCTGCAGGGTATACCCTTTGGTGTCCTTTAAAGAAGTCTTAATATAATGTAAAACTTCCATTACAATTTGAAGGACTCACTAAATATCTAAAAGCTAGGGAGTTCTCTGCATCTAAAAAAAATATATGGGACGTAATATGATTTCCACGAGTACCAGTGAGTTGAAAAGTCACTATGGGTTCTTTTCTTTTAACTTTTATTAACACTTCATAAAGTAAACCGCATGTATTTTCTCAAAATATACACCAAAATATATAATACTCATGAGACAGATACTATGAGATGACCTGAAAGAGTTCATTTATGTCATATTAGCTGCCCAACATCCAATCAAAAAGAAAATTTGGCTCTGGGGAAAATCACTCATTGTTTTTGTCAAATACTTTGTCAGATAACTGGATTAGAGAATTAGTCAGTGCCTTGCTCACCTAGAGAGAATTACATGTAAAAACTTAATCTGGAAATTCAAAAGAGGATAAAACATATTTCCTTATTATAAGATCAATTAACAAAAGAGTGGTTCTGACTTGTAATCCGATTTTCATTTTGATTTTTATAAGCCTGCAGGAGACAGGTACCTCTGGTACTACAGCCTCTACCATCCCTGGAAAACCTACTATTACAATCAGCAAGGGAAATACCTACTGCCTCAGCCACAGAACCTCAAACCCACATGGAAGTGAGTTTGTTGTAAAGCAAGCATAAAAAGATAAAATATAGATATGATTTTAAATTTACCTTTCTGAGGAGACTCCATTCTGAAAAGAAGCGGTGTATGCCTTTCTTTTGTCCACAGGCATAACGTCAACATAACCACCATGATTTCGAACCACCCCAGCGTGCACTGCTGCTCTGCAGATACTGGACAGCTGAGGGGACAAGGGAAAACCTGCCCTTAGGAAATTCCCGCTGAACTCATCCAGCTTACTTTCCTGCTGCGCTGAAGTCACTGACAGGTCTCTATGTGAATTCTCAGTGAGCAGCTACAGGATGATGTTTTGTGAATAAAGGAATGTTTCAAAAATCGAAAAGTTAAAGCCACTTCTGAGCAAGTATGAAGGCAAAGCTTAAGAGTCACTGCAGTGCTAAAATTCCCCTTACCATCTAATGTAGCAAACACATGCCAAGACAAATAGCAGGCTTTTTCTGTTGTGAAAGCAACAAAATGCAAATTGGTTCTTTTTATTATTTAGTTTCAGCCTTTGTTAGTCCCTACTGGAGTCATTCTGACCTAATGTTCAGTTCTGACTCCTAGACAGCTCAGACATAGTTCTGTATATCTTTATGGTCCCTTTTCCAGAATACAGGTATATGTTAAATTGGGAGTTTTCTCCCTATTAAATAAATATGATCTCCTCAGAGAAAATTTGCCCAAAAGAATAATTCCATCCCCCTGAAAATATGAAGAACAATCATAGCTTCAGCCTGGATTTTCGATGTCTATCATCACCCTGGTTTGAATGGTCTCGCATGAGGTCCTGGCAAATTTCCATAATTATTACATTGTGCCAGTTATATAATCTGAATTGAATGGGATTTCTATGGAGGAGAAAATTATTGTTTCAGGTCCAACACTTCCAAATTTTTAAAAGCACTGACTTTTAGAAGTCAACTCTTTCTTCTTGGCCCATAAAAGTCTTCTCTGGATTTTAACATTTGATTTAATCTAAATGCTCTGCCAAAATTTATCAATAGCTGAGTACAGCCCCAGGAAATTCCATAAAATGAAACATGAACTGTTTCAGTACCAAGTGACCCACCCACTCATTTCCCCATGGGTCTTTTCTGACTCCACTGGTATGCTCTTTTCTTATCTCCATGCACATGTGAGTGGCTTAATGAGCTTTTGAAAAATCATATAAGCATATACATCTTACATGACCTTGCTTTATTACTGTGCTCTGAACCTTGTGACATCAGTCAGTATTTATTAGATCAGAGAGCCCGAATGCCAAGCTGGTTTACCCTTTTCATGTCTTTCCCTATTACAAAATGCCATATATCTAAAACCTCATATCCTTACTGTTAGGAGGCATTTTATTTACCCATTAAAAGCTCTTTCTGAATTAATGTTTGCATCCATTATGGTTCATAACAAATGCAAATAAAAAAATCTTATATACATTTCAGTATTTATCTTGCTCCATTATAAAGGCATTATCAGCATCTTCCCCATGGAAATGACAGTGCTTAGATATAGTTTTCACTAAATTTAAGCACTTAATATGTTTTGAAACTATTGTTTTGTCCATAATTATGCTATCAGCAGGCATTCCTATTCAAGTTTAAAGGTCAGAAGAGATTTTCTGTTCATGCCTACACTTTGTAAGTATTAATATATCATGAAATAAAAGAATTTATCTGTGAAACCAATAGAGCATTTTTAAAGAATGCAGAAATTAACTTCATCTGTCACAAATGGGAAATAAAAGTTAAAGCAATAAAATGTATAAGTTGTAACTCTACAAGTAAAAAGAGAGAGAGAAAGGAAAAGAGTAAGGTTGGGGAGAGGGGAGGGAGAGAGAAGGGAGGAAGTTAATGGATTGGTTCTCATCTGTCCACATCTTCTTTGTAAAAAGGTAATGAGATTGGCAGGTAATAGATGAATCTCTTTCTCTACATTTGTCAGTTATAGTCAACTCTATATTTCCAACTTATCTTGAAAAGGTCTACATAATAATACATAATTATCTACCCTACCATTTCACTGAAGTAGGAAGACAAAATGATCTCAGTATCAAGCTCTAACAAATCGTTCACTCTGACAAAGAGATGGCTTATTAGTACAGAAGTATATAGGATATGGTGAAAGATTTTCATCAAACATAACTAAAATTAAGTTTTGCTGCTTAAAGGGACAATCTGGAAAGAATGATTTCTTTGGGATTTTATGGTGATCTAGATACGCTCATACACACTTATTAATTTGTTTTTTCTACAAATATTTACGTGTAAAGTATTTGCTTAGTTTCTGATGTTACTCGTGCTCTAAATTATGTTAAGTCAGGAAGCCAGCCTGTCTTGTTCCCAGCCTGCTACCCATCAAATTGTTGATGAAAAAGTGACACATGAATTGCCCAGCTGCTGCCCTCAACAGACTTAAAAATTAATGAAAGAGATGGGGAAACCATCACAATACTTAACCGAATTAGCCAAGTGCTAACAGGAGAAAACAAAGTAACAAGGTTGAATGAAAGGTGACATCATCCTTGGATTAAGAGATCTAGCAATATACTTCACAGAGAAAGTGATGTGAAGAGTGACCATGTTTTTGAGAGATAGAAAAGTAGAAAAAAAGGCATTTTTAAACAGAAACATCAAAATATGAACAAATATGAGAAATAGCTATTTAAGATACCAGCAAGATTAAGCTGTAGATAAGAAGATTGCAAAGCTGGACCTTGGGAGAGACTTAGATTTGGAGAATAATTTCAATGGCAAGGCTGAACTGAAAGAAACACCTGGACCTAAATGAATTTATCAAGAGAAAAAAGGTGGTAGCATACATATTTCAGGACACTCTCCACAATTGTTATTTCCACAATATCTGACTGAATATATGCACCCAGAGTATTATTATCTAAGTTTGATTTTCTAACTCACTGGTTTAGAAATCTGTAACAGTTTCTAAAGGTCTGCCACATAAAATATAAACTCATCAGCATGCACTCAGAGTTTCCATTTAGATGTTTCAAGAGCTGAATCTTTCTCCCAGTCCACTAAGCTGGCTGCAGCCATTTTCAGTTTGCATTCTCACCAGCTCAGAGACAAGCAAACCTAAAGGCAATGCTCCCTTGCAGCTCAGGTGATCTCCCCTGCAGTCTCCATATATGCCATTCACCAGCCCCCTCAGCGTTGCCCCTCCCCCACTAGAATGTGACCCTTAATCCTCTTTAGAAGCCCAGGGTTGACACCTGGCTCAAGAAGCACTTATCCATACTGAAGCTATCACAGGTAATGTTCCTTGTCCAGTCCCAGGAATGTCATCCATTACAACATCCTCCCAACTAATTTCCTTTTGTATGTATTCTAGTGTATTATTTGTTTGTGATTTTGTGGTTCTATTGTTTCCTTTTTTGTTGAATTTATTGGTGTGATACTGGTTAACAAAAGTATACAGGTTTCAGCTGCCCAATTCCACAACACATCATCTGTGCATTGCATTGTGTATTCACCACCCCAAGTCAAGTCTCCTTCTATCAGCATTTACTCCCCCTTTACTCTCCTCCGCACCTGCTCCCTGTGGCAGTCAGGGTCCATGAGTCCTTTCTCTCCCTTTTTTCTTTTTTTGTTTGTGATTCTATGCTACTTTAAAAATGCCCCTTTGGCAGTGAAGATACTGTTCATACATCTGACAAATTCTTATTATCCAGTTTATACTTCAAATGTTAAAGAACCAAAAGGAAGAGTAAAGAAAAGCAAAATGTATTTTAGTACCCAAAATGCTTCCAGACTATTAAGTATCTGATATAAATATAAAATATATGGGTAGGATGTAAAGAAAAATGTAATCTAACTAAATTATTGTGCCCATATTTACATATGGATATTCTTTTTTGTTATTATTAATGGTTAACTCTTCAGAGAATTCATGTATTAGCACAGAATCTGTTTCTTTATTCTGTACAATAGTCCCCCCATATCCACATGGGCTACTGTTCCAAGACCCTCAGTAGATTCCTGAAAGAGCAGACAATACCAAACCTTGTATAATCTATATATTTCCTATATATGCACTATGATAAAGTTAACTTTATAAATGAGGCACAGTAAGAGATTCATAGCAATAATACAGTAGAACAATTATAACAATATACTATAACAAAAGTTATGTAAATTTGGTCTCTCTCTCCCTCTTCTCCCCACCCCTTCAGAGTATCTTACTGTACTATATTCATCTTTCAGTTAAAGGAAGCTGTTTATGTCTTCTCTTTGGGATGTCTGAACCGCCAACCTCACTACTCTTCCCTAGGGGGGATCATGAAGTAAAGTGAGGGCGATTTGAACAGAAGCACCACCACACCATGACAGTTGATATGATAACAGTGACTAATAATGTGAGGGCAGCATCTATAGCATGGAGACACTGGACAAAGGGATGAATTGTGTTCAGGATGGGACAGAGCCACACATTACAAGATTTCATCATTCTACTCAGAATCGCATTCAATTTGAAACTTATGAATTTTTTATTTCTGGAATTTTTCATTTAATATTTTCAGATCATGGTTGGCTACAGGTAACTAAAACCATAGAAAGTAAAACCCTGGATTATTGGGGGGGGGGGCTACTGCATGTAAATATACATATACATTTAAATGTGTGTATAGAACCTATGAAATCTATACATACACATATGCATGTTCATGCACAAATGCTGAGAACTGCATAAATTAGAATACTTACATCAGAATAAATTCGAGTTCCAATTACACGAGCATGATGTGGATTTGCCTGCATACAGTTTCGAGGGCAGTATACTCTGAAAAATAAATATATATTTATAAATACTGAGTGGCTGGTTATTTCAATCTTTCTTCTTAGTAAGACTGCAGACATGTGAACACAAAAGTAAAAACTCAGCATTCTAAACCTTACTAACTTTTTTTTTCTCAACTAGGTCAGTTGTAAAAGCCACACACTAGATACAATTTCTTCTGCTTATACTATCCACGTCTAGCACAAATGTGTTTCCTTTTAACAAGAAAGCTTTCTAATGTAGAGATTCAAAACAGAAAAAGGCAGCAGAAAGTACTCTGAGTATCTGGATGTTTGGTACCCAATGTGTGTGAAGAATTTACTGAATAGGTCATTTGGAAAACTTGAATCCCTGTTTGACTCATACATCTCATAGTTTCTTTTCTCTGTGTTCACACCTTGGATCTCATCCAATTTCATGGTTTCCATTATCATCTATACACTGTTGATTTCCAAATTTATACCTATAGTTGAGACCATAATTATTAAATGTTATTATTTAATAATAAAATTTGTATTTCCTATTGTTTATTCCATATCTTCACTTAGATCTAATAAACTTCTTAAATGTAGCATGTTTGAACCCAAATTCCTAATCTCTGCCTCCCATCCCCCAAATATGTTCTTTCTGTAGACTTCCTGAAATAAATGGCAACTCCATCATTCCAGATGCTCAGGCCAAAATCTTTTATTCTATCTGAAATCCTTCCTCTTATATCCATCCTTACACCTTACATTCAACCCACCAGCAATTTCTGCTGACTATAAATTAAAATATATCCTAAATCAGGTCATTGTTAGGTACCTCCTCACTGTAACTCTGGACTCTACCATCTGATAGCTCCCTTACTTCAAAAGGCTCTCCTATGACCTGCCTATTTCCTACTTGCCTCCTCCAATTTACTTTTTCCACAGACTTATATTGAAGCACAAAAGTCTAATCATACCATTCCTCTGTGCCAAATACTCCAGGGGCTTTCCATCTAATTCAGAATAATAAAATTCATGCAGTGGTCAATAAGTCCAGCATATTTTCTCCTCCTATTTCCTCTCTGACCTTATATCCTACTTCTCCACCTTCTCACCCAGGTACAGTCACATTGGTCTAATGGTTATGCCTCAGGGCCTTTACACTTACTCTTCTCTCTGCATGGAATGTTGTTTCTCCAGATATCCTACAGCCTGCTTTACTGATATCTGATTGGCTTAGTCACTTTTAAAAAGGCCCAAGAGCCTTTTTATTTAAATATAAGGTCCAATTTTCAGTGTTTAGTCAATTACATGATATTAAAAAAATTCACTCCCAAAGTTTAAGAAACTGTCAAGTGGCACTCCCTTTTTTTGGTTGATTGGGTCTTCTGAGTTTACTTTCACTTCCCTTCCCTTCTTTCTCTCTTTCACTCTGTCTGTCTGTCTATCTCTCATACAAAAAACTGGAAAAACCATGATTCACTTTACATATCAACAAAATGACTAAAACCATTCTTTGATGAAGACATTGATGATTTTGTGAAAAGTATTCTAAAAACTCCAGTGGAAGCTACCTTTTCCAACTGAAGCATTTTAAAAATAATTGCATTTCTTATTTAAAATTCTTATTTCTAAAATGTGTATAACACTGTACAATCCAGAGTGCATATACTTCCTACAAACTTAAACCAGAACCATTTACATATAAGTAATAAATGAATCTGAGTTTTTATAACTTTGAACTAAAGGTTTGATTTTTGTAAGAACGTTGTTGGGTGTCCCTGTAGGAGGAAGGGCGTCCTCATTGACTAAAATTTCCTCTTTGTATTTGAGAACTGTTGAGTATTCAGAGACCACCCTATGGTAGTAAAACTATCTGCTCTTCCCTTAGGATCATGCTGTGTGGGCTCCACCTTGACCTTATTCAGTTCTTGGTTTATGGATGGCTAAGGTCAGTAGCTCCAAACTGGATTAGTTTTTACTTTTGTGATTTCTAGTCAAAGAAAGAGGGGAGAAAGTTTTTGCTTGTTTGGGTTCTAATCTCTGTAGTTTTAACACTTTGTTGCTACTTAGAATGTAGATAGTGATCTAGTAAAAATGTTCTTTTTTTTTTTGAAAATTTTTTTAAGATTTTATTTATTTTTTTTTTTAGGGAGGGACGGGAGGGAGGGAGAGAGAGAGAGAGAGAGAGAGAGAGAAACATCAAGCGAGAGAAACATCAATGTGCGGTTGCTGGGGGTTATGGCCTGCAACCCAGGAATGTACCCTGGCTGGGAATCGAACCTGGGACACTTTGGTTCCCAGCCTGCGCTCAATCCACTGAGCTACGCCAGCCAGGGCTAAAAATGTTCTTTTATCTACAAATTACTTGTAAGTTTTTAATGAACATGTTGATGGATTTTAATAACTGCTTTTACACTGTGAACATGCAACAGGTTTTAAAAATCTAATTGTTTATATATATAATTGTATATATACACACAATATATATAATATATATTATATATAATTGTGTATATATAATATATAACTATATAATTATATATACTATATAATTATATATAATATATACTATATTGTGTATAATATATAACTATATATTATATATAATTGTTTCTATACACACACACACACACATATGTAAAAAGGATAAGATTGCCAATGACGCACACACAAGCACACACATTTTCTCCAAGGTCATGGTACTAAATATGAGAGAAAGTTTATTTTGGGATGATCTGCCAGCTATAGAACCTCTCAAGGACACGTTGTGTAGGTAAATCTTGTTTCTTTGTGCTCAGTTTTAGTTAATACCCTTTAATTTATCTTTTCTTGGCATTTCCCCCCTGAATAGATTTATTCCTCAATTCATTAAGTGATATAAAATTCTAAAACAAATGCACCATCAATATGGTTCCTTAAAAGTCATAAAATGTCATATAAATAATACCATTATGAACTAATTTGTGAAACTATTAAAAATTTAATGGGGGGAAGAAAACTTTTGTTTCACTGGGAGCAGGGAGCTTTCCAGTCTAGCTAAGGTCAAAATTATGGATAAATCATTATTTCTGCTGATTTGTTAAACTGGTGACAGTGAAAGTTAAATTTTTAAAAATTATATCATTTCCCTTGTGAGGAGTAGGTCCTCTTATTTCCCTTCCTGAAATAAGCAAAGAAATAGAAAACTTATTTATTAATATTTTACTTGAACGATCTGTTCCTTTTGAAACACAATTTCTATTGTTGCACAGATAAGTTCCAGGATAATTCTTACTATTTAGTCCTCATAAACCTTGTTACATGGTTGAGATAGGGTCTAGTACAATACTGGTATGTAGTACATATTTAATGAACATATAAGTGAAAAATTCTAAAATTTTTGCTTTTTCTCATTGTATCACAATGCTGAAATTTCCCAGGTTCACCTATCAATGTTTCCTTTCTCTATAAAAATACAGTCTGTAAATATAGGGATTTGAGATACCTGAAAAATCTTCCACAGAATTTTCTAAGATTATAAAACACACCACGATTTTAATTAAATCTGTAAACCTAGTAAGAGCATAGTGAGTGAAGCTCTGGAAAGAGATTATACTTTTATAACAAATATATTTGGTCTATGCTTATAGCAGCCCAAGCAGAGGAAGACAGAACTCTCACAGCCCATATAACATAGATCATAAGCATGAGTCCAGCTACCTTGGAGCAGTAGAAGGTACTTGGCATGTGGAGCAAGAACACTAAGAATAACTGGACTATATGGAACTTGTGATGGCCCATGGATCCCTGCTGCTTAGCAGTTTGAGATCACACCCCTTTGAACTCTAGAGACACCAGAATTTCAGTTAGAACCATTTACCAGAAGATAAGAGCACTGTACATGTTCACTGGTAAAAGACAATGCAAACACTCAGAAAACAATACCTTGGGCAGTGTGAAGCAGGTTTATGGAATGGGCAGAGTTGCTCCACCGTTGTCTCACAAGTGACAGCCTGAACTACAGAATGCAAGCACAATACAAGGGGCAAATCATTTGGAAACAGTAACATGCAACACAGTAGTAAGAAAGTAAGATGAAAAAAAGTGCTAACCTGTTACTTTAGAGACTGTGAAGGAATTAGCAGAATGATATTTGCTGAAGATGAAAATAAAAAATGTCAATCACTTTTTTATAAGTATCATCATCTATATAACTTCTCCATAACACCACAGAACCAGATGATTTATTCTTTCACAGTAGTAAATACAAGGTAATACTGTAAAAATACTAAATAATAAGTACCTTATAGCAGTGTGCATTATTTAATTCCCCTAGTAGGCAGTAAAATGTCTACAATAAATAAGTGAACTCTTCGTTATATGCATTAGTATAAAACAGGAAAGTAAGAATAGGTATATCATTAAATATCAAAAATTTCATTGGTTTATCTATATCCAGATTTTCAGAAGTCATCTACTGCACAAGGTAAGGCTCATTTGTGGTGGTACTTTAATATTACACACCCTTCTAATTCCAAGAGAATTCCCATAATGAACATAATCAAAAAGTAAATTAAGTAAAAAAATAGGATAAATGGTTTTTAATCTAAAATCCAGTATTTGGCTTACTGAAACTGATAATTAATATTTATTATTTATTCAAGGAAGTTAATAAATATTTGCTGAATAAATTAGTTAATAAATATTTCTATGAAGCTTTTGAGAGTGATGGCTAATAACTCAAAACTATACATCCAGCCTTTCATCAAAATTGTATGTAAGGGAGATCATTCCACAAATTTGCAAGAGTTTTTAATTATCAGTTCCAGCTTTACTATGAATTTTCATGTAATTGTATATTTACTAAAGAAAGAAACTATGTTCTAAGAAGAGGCATTCCCTACGAGGTTCATTAATGTTTATTTTTCACAGAAGAGACACTACAAAATATTTCCAAAACCCTCATTTTTCTACTTTTTATAGAGTATATATAAAAACATATACTCTATAAAATATTTAGTATTTTTAACACGAGAAACATTTTAAAGGCAATCAATGCTTTTATGTTGGATTAAATTATATTTAAATGAACAAAAGAGATGTGATGTATTACATACTTACCAACTCTTCAAAATGCTCCTTACACTCTAAGTTTATTAACAAAGTTACTATTGCATGAAATAACCTATTCTCCCTTAATAGGGCAGGAATATGCAAATCAGTCTTCTTTGCAGTATTTTCTGTTGCAGTAGAAAAGTTAATTGGCTCACATTGGAAATTACTGTAAATTTGTACATTCTTGAGGAAACTACAAAAATTGGGGTTTTGGCAAGCTCTTTAAAAGCAAAAGGGTTCAGCTTTCATTTAAATGCTTTTTCTTCTTTTTGTCTATGGAAATCTTGTAGTCAAAATGAACCTCAAAAATTACCACCTTCTTTCTTCATAAATTCTATGCTTTGCTCCAAAAGCATTACCTCATTGTTACAATTTGAAATCACCTGGTCCCAAAGAGTATTTGGGTACTTACCCAATTGTTTGAACACCATTTCTATTGGATTTGATGAAATAATGTTTTCTTCCTTGTCTGGTGATATCTACCCAACCACCATCATTGTCCACTATACCATAATGAATTGCAGCTCTACAAATACTGGATTGCTTAGTAAAAAAGAGGGGGGGATATTAAAATATTAGAGTTCTGCATAAAATACAGCTACTTTCTATTTATATGACTTCAAATTAGACAAACTTTTCTGAGCAAAATATCTACACTTAAATTATTTTTCAAATTAAAAAAATCAAGTATTATATGAAATAATTCTACCCCTACATAATTATATTTATAATACTTACCATTTCATAATATACACTGCCAATAACTTTAGCTTTACTATCCAAACAGCCAGCAGGGCATTCATATCTAGGGGAAAAAAAATGGGGACATTCTCTGAATGTCAGTCAGTATACACTGAAAATATTTCTTACATTTATCAGTTAATTTTGAGAATAATAATAGATATTACCGATTGCAAGTTGTTCCTTTGCACTGATCTCTTAATCTTACTTCACAAGAAACAATTTGGGCTAAAAGAAAACAAATTAACTTAGAAAATGTAAAAGCTGCTATAATCCTTCATATTCAGTCTAATGCCAAGCTTTTACCTATCTAAAACTATTAAAGCTAATAAAATATCGACAGATATGCCACCTATGTAAGCCTTAACATTTTTGTAAATAATGCAGAAGTCTTACACATTTGTTGTGTGCTTATGACTTCATTTGTATTAATATCATCTGTTCTTGTCTGAACATGGGTGTCGTGGACTTGTGACTGTTCTCGTTCAATTTCATTGGTTTCTTCTTCTCGAGGAGTATAGTACCTGTCTGATCCTTCTGTTAGAGAGAATGAAGTTAAGAAATATAAATCCTATTAAAATGTGCACAAAGTATCAAATAATGCTAAATCTTTACATACCTGTTTAGCACTTAAAAATAGAAAAATCAAAATTGTTTTTGGCACCAGTTTTAACTTAAGGGGGTGCTCTTAATGCACTACACTGGAGTAAGTGAAACACACATAACTCTTGAGTCCTTGATTTATTGATGCTACCCTTTGGCCAATGTCAAATGGAGCCATTTCTAAACTTTGCTTATATTTTAACACGTAATCAGTGATTGGTTTTCATAATGACAACATGATGTCTACACAGTGATCTAATCAAGTCAGGACTTAAGTGAATTTGAATTTGTTTTCCCAAATTAAATTGTATCCTTAATATTTTGGGAGGAATCATATTTTAAATTCTCCTGTAAGGAAATTCAGCCTAAAGAAGGTTGATATGCCCTTGTTATTTATTACAATATCAGTTTTCCTGAAAATGGTCTTCCCTTTCAGAAGGGGATTCAGTGCTCAGAAATTTAAACTTGACAATGAAAAATAATGTCAAACTTTGAATTTAATATTTTTTTCAAGTTGGATTATATCAAGGACTTGACACTGGCATATTTTGGAGGGTTGTGCTATTTTCATGTGTGTCTAAGGATGCAGAACCTAGAAAAAGGAAATCAAATACAGTCAGGTTTAAGTAAAACATAGGGGCCAGTGGTGAAGGGGCAAGTAGGTTGGAGATTTGGGGGTAAAGAGGACAGAAACAGATAGACTGACACACAATGAAAAATGCTTCCAGGAATTATACGTGGCTCATGTAAGAGAGTGAAATATATGGTCACTTCTTGACTTAATGAGCACTGAGTCACTAGGGGAGATACAAAGACCCATTCCCTTATGAGTCCTGAAAAAGGAATGCATTTATTCATAGATTTTCTAACACATTAGTCTCCATTAATCTTCATTTAGACATCATTAACAAAAAAGTACAAGAAAGTAAAAAATGTTCATATGGATGGATACCCAATAAAGCTTAATGACTTTCACAAAGCTCTGTCACATACATTTTATCTTTGTGTGCTATAAATAGGACACCATATTTGTATTTACCTTTAAGACATCAAATGTGTTTGAGAGCACTATTTTTACAATAGTTTTACAACACTATTGTACTTTTTATTATTTTAGCATGAAATATTGTGTACCCTACAGTGAAAAGCAGATAATCAGTACAATCCATTCATCATGGTTCAAGTAAGAATTATGGTATTTTGGGAAAAACTTCTAAAGTGCTAAAAATAAATTGTGTTAAATTATTAACTCCTTAAAAAAGTTTAAGGAGCTTATTAGTTTTAGAAATAACTCCAGTCAACAATATGTGAATATGGCTTTTAGGAAAGTAAATATAACTGACACTCTGCGATACATTCTGACTACAGTTAAAAGTTATCTGGGATAATAATGAAACTTTCCTTTAAATACATATTGGTCTAAAAAGCATTAATATTATAAATATATTTTGAAATATTCTAAATGGTTTCTTCAGAATATTTGAAATAGAGCTCTAGAAACTTTTCAGGTAATTAAACACACATTTATTTTTAAAAACAGAACTTAATGTGTGAATTAGATTAAAATATCAATCAAACTAAATAGCATGGCACAAGAGCACATACCTTTGTAGCACAGATTTTCTCTACAGCCTCCTCCAAAGCTAGGTGGACAAGCAGAACAGGGTCTTCCGTGTTTGTAGGGAGCGTGGCCCCACCAGTTCCCCCTTAAGGAAAAACCAGCACTCTTTTAAGAGGTAATCTAATAGCATTATTTATAAGACATTGCAAAATATTTCTGTATAAGAATCTCTTAAGTGATGATTTTGAGGTGATTTAAGACATTTATATCTTTTATCTTTTGTTTACTAGGTTTAAATATAAAATGTTGCCTCCTTCTTTTGAAATATACTAAATAATTTATTATGCATATTGCTAAAAATTACCAGACCAAACTTTTGCACAACACCAAACTCTGCTTTGGGATATTCATTCACATTTCATTTGTTTTAATAAGAATGGATTTTAGACTTAGCTTTGACCCTACATATGATTGCATAATATTTTCAATGTAATATTTGAATGGACTTTACATAGGTAAATGCATTTCTCAGTTAATCTGTAGTTGTGTGTATCTAGTAAATCAAAATTATTGGATATTTACATAATATAATAGTTCATTGAGCAAAACTGAATGCATAAATATTATCCCTGTCTTTACATAGATCATATTTTCAATTTTTGATTCCTTTTAAGTACTGATTTTATGCATCAGGCAATCATAATTATTGTCATATTAAGAAAGATAGGTAAAAACAACATACTTCATTCAAAAATGCAGACAGAAAATTACAAAAAAATAAAAATGTGATTTTTATATTAAGAAAAATTTACATATGAAAGTAGTGTTTTGTCCACTTACTTCGGGGAATAATTACACACCAAGTAGACAGCCTTGGGCCATATCTGCCCCCAGATGTTCATGTTATGACACAAATTAATGGCACAGCCTATTCTGCTACTTGTTGCCCACACAACCTACATTAGAGAAAAGAAAGGCTCAGAAAACAGAAGTTGAGATGAAGCAAGACATAACATATCAAAGAGAAAAATGTATCAAACAACTTAAGAAATAAACATTAGTCATTCAAAATGAAATGAAGCAATGTCAAAGAGGATACTTTTCCTGAGACTTTGAGAAGTGCCTAATTCAATTAAAATAATAGCTCTACAGCTTAATAACTCAATCTGGCTATAAATGTATGCATCTTCAAACTATAAATTTATTCAATAATTCAAAGTTATCTCTTCACAAACCTAAATTCTGTGTTACTATTTCCATGAAGAATGTGCCTAACAAAAGAATGGAATTTCTCATTTTAATCAGAAAGTACTGGAGCAAAAATGTAGGTGTTCAAATTTCTTACACAACATGATATTTTCATTGTGCCACTGGTCATTAAGGAGTTCAATAGTGATCTTAATCTTGTCACACACAAAAGCATATAGAAGAATCTTTCTGCTTTGTATTCTTTAATAATTGCCACAGATGTTCTGGAAACTGAGATCTGTGGTGAGCTGTATCTAATTCAATTTGCCTTCAGCTGTGTGATTTCGAAGTTAAAACATAGCTAGTACCAAATGTAAACATTAAATTTAAAAATAATCATCACCTAGCCTTTATTATATGAAATGTTAAAGGGACTTATCTAAGAAAAAGAAGACCAAAAGTATGAACAGTAAAATGACAACTCACAGCTATTAACAACTGAACCTAAGAAAAAAACAAACAAAAGCAAACTAAGCAAATAACTAGAATGGGAGCAGAATTGCAGAAATGGAGATCACATGGTGTGTTATCAGTGGGGGAGAGGGAGGGGGAAGGTAGAGAGAATAGTAGCATAAATGGTAGGTAGAAAATAGATGGGATGGGTGTTAATAATAGTATAGGAAATGTAGAAGCCAGAGAACGTATATGTATGACCCATGGACATGAACTAAAGTGGGGGAATGTGAGTGGGAAGGGATGTGCAGGGCAGGGTGGGAAATAAAAGGGGGGGAATGGGACAACTGTAATAGCATAATCAATAAAATATATTTAAAAATGATGAGAAGTGCTTGTTTTGCACATATGTAAATACCAAATATCATGGGTAAATAAAACTATATTTTTAGTTTTTGAAAATAAAAAATAGTGATACCTGATTTTGAAGATAGTGCATTTCTCCCTATATGCATTTATTGGGGCCATATTAAAGTGTTTCATAGGTAAAATCATTGCAATCATGTCTTTTTAAGTATATGTTTGGACATTGTTTCTGATCATTACTTTGCTTATGGAAATTTCTATGTTTATTCTACATAGATCAATAATTAAATATTTAGTAACCATAGCAAAAGATATAAAAAGGATACAAGTTCAGTAGCCCAAGTTCTCCCTTAGTTATACAAACTCAACTTAGGGAAATAAAATATAATAAACCCAAAACATACCTGTGTATAATGAGTGCATACAGGACCAGAACATCTGAATGGGCAATATGGGTTGCATTCATGTTCATATGGGTAGCTAAAGTCTCTCACTTCATCATACCATGCTTGTACATGAAATGTTGGGGGCCTATACCTATTTGAAATAAAATAATCACAAAGAGCAAGTAAAGTTGGAGAAAATTTTAAACCAAGTATTGCAAATGGATTGATAGAGAAGGCTAGAGATATTTTTGTCTAAGTTATTAATTTTAAATAGTTATGCACATTACATTACTATTATATCAATAATGTAAAACAAAAATAAGTCTCTAATGCTGCTTATCATTCTTGTATATTTATTTTTTATTATTCATGTTGGGTGATTGCTTGTTTTCCTTTCAGGTACTAAGCCTTTGAAACTGAGCAACATAAATAAATAAGCATTTCATTTCAAACATGTTTTCAGAAACAAAATGTTACATTTTAAGCTACCTTCCCCAGTGTGCTCCCAAATTCTGTCCAATTGATGGAAGCAAGCTTGCAGGCCCATGTTCCCACAAACAAGTTTCAGCCCAGGACTCTGCCGATCTTTCCAGCTCAATATCCCATGTCTATAGTTCAAAACAAAAACAAGATATAGATACAAACATTTAATGTATGTGTATAGGTTGGACATTTCTTCAAAATATGGTGCTTCTCAGTTCTTATGTTTTTCTCCCTTCTTACCTATTTATAAAGTGAACATTTTAGTCTGGGTTCTTGCCATCTCTTACTAGGATTTTTAGACTTAGCCTCCTACTTAATCTCCTTGCTTCATCTCTCATCCCTTCCAATCTGCTCCAACGCATGTTTGGAATTGTCTGAGTGAACACAAACACACTTAAGTGACTCCTCTGTCTGAATACATGCAACAAATCCCTGTACATGTGAATTCCAAGATCCGTGAACCCACTGTTCCCTATCACAAGCCCTGTTATTCCTTGTTCTCACTGGCATTGTTTCCTTTGCCTAAAACACCCTTCTCCCATTATTCGTCAGACAGAACTCTGCTCTTCCTTCATAATCCAGCTTTATGTAAACCATTCTTGACACCTTTTCAATTCTCTCAAATGCTAACTATTCTCTTTCTGGGGCTCCTGAAGCTTTGTTATACTCTTTTGTTTAGTAGCTATTACACTAAAATGTTAGTATTTGTGCCTATGTTTATCTCTTTCTTGAGACTGTGAGTTGCTTCAGGAAGTTACTTAAGTCATGCTGGTGTCTTTGGCCTATTTTCTGTGTCATATGGACAAGTTGGTTAATAAATGTTTGTTGAATACATGAATGATTAATGAGTCTGAATTTTATAAAAATATATATGCATTTTCTACACAAAACTCAATGAGGGTGATTAAGCCACACTTTAAAAATAATTTGTAAAGGAATATTTAAAATTATAAATCATTACTGAAATGGTTTTGCCTGCCTTGGGTTTAATATTTAATTTATTAATTTGATAAAGAGACAGTGCACTGAGTGTGGTGGCAAAAACACAGGTAGAACAGGGTTCTGTCTCTGCACAATACCAGATGTTGGGTATGTAAAGAGGGAAGGAAAAGAGTCCTGGAACGAGCATGTGAGAACACAACCTAAGGTGACGGCAAGGAAATGGAAGGACAGACTAAACTAATGTTTAGGAATTTAGAGTCCTAGAACTTGATGAATAACAGAACTTGGTAGATGGTGAGGAGGAATGAAGTGTAGACTTAAGAGGTTACCAAATGGAAAAAAAGAAAATACATTAAGAGAAATAGGTTGTGGTAGTGGAAATGTTTGTGTATTTCTATACATATTTCAAGGGTGAAGGGTGACATGTCTGTGCTACATGCACTATACATGTCAAATAGAGAGTAGAAACATTTGATTGGGTTCTGAGAGATAAAATATGCTCAGAACATATGAATTTTGAAGTTAGTCATTCAGAGATAAGTTTCTTCAGTAGGATGATAGAGAATGAGAAAAAAAATAAAATTCTGGACTATCAAAACTGAAGGGGAGTAAAAACAATGAGTTAGTAAAATGAAGTAGGAAAAATGGGATCAGAGAAGTTTAGGGAAAACTGAAAAAGGATTAAATTATAGAAGTGAAGAAACAAGAGATTCCAGGAAGAGTGAGCTGCAAGGTCAATGCCAGAGAGGGGTCAAGAAAGATGAGGTCCGAAAAGTACTATCCATGATTAAGAGCAATTTCCCCTTTATACTAAATAAGGAAACAGGAACACAAAGGGTTAAGGTGTCAAGAAGGAGAAAATGGGTACAGCAAGTGTGGTGTCTTTGTTAATAATATTTTAGAGACAAAGAAAGGAGAGGGGACAGAAGCTTGAATAGATAAGATGCCAGGGTTTAGGGAGAATGTGTTTCCTGACTTTCACTTTTAGAGGATGGCAGAAGCCTAATGATGACTAAGCTGAAAGGAAAAGACCTTTGGAGAAAACCAAAGAATGTGTGTGGAAGGGAAGTTTCTTCATTCCTTCATATACATTTTTATAAATGAACATTCCTACTCATTCAATTGTGAATCTGAAATATATAAATTTATGTTTTTAAAGCCAAAAATTAGAATAAGTATATTCTTATTATGGTACATCCTTATTATCTAGCAAAATACAAAAATATATATTTACATGTAATTAAAAAATTAAGAGCAGCAAAATGTGGATAGTCATAAAAGCTTTAATTTTACTTTGAATTAATATCAAATATTCAAGATGAAGGCTTTGTGATATAAACAGTCCTTTATTTTCCAAACATGGGCATATTATTTCTTAAATTCATTATATATAATTAAATACTTTATGTAGTCATACAAAGATATAATTCAAGTTGCTGTCATTATTACCCAAAGAAATTAAGTAAGAAAAACAAGAATTTGGCTATAAAATCCCAGAAAATGAGCAAGATGGTGATTTCCTTTTGTATCCACTAAGCTGGAGAGAGAGTCACCCCTAAAAAAAGCAAGCAGGTTTCCAGGTAAATTTTTCTGAAAAGTAGTCTGTCATTAAGAGACAAACAAATTCTTGTATTCAATCTTGGAAATCAGGTTCTTGCATAGTACTTCGGTTATAGGTTACAGTGAAACTACACTTATCCATAGGTTTCTAATCTAGCAGCTCCATATTCAAAGAGTAGCCAAGAACAAGAAGAAAAACAGTTCCTAGATGGCTTAAAAAATGCCTTGAGTCCTGGCTGATGTGGCTCAGTGGATTGAGTGCAGGCCTGTGAACCAAAGGGTTGCTGGTTTGATTCCTAGTCAGGGCACATGCCTGGGTGATGGGCCAGGTCCACAGCAGGGGGCATGATAAAGACAACCACACATTGATGTTTTTCTCCCTCCCTTCCTTTCTCTAAAAAAAATAAATAAAATCTTGTTAAAAATGCCTTGAAAGCACTGTGATGATCTTAAAGCACAAAAGGAGTTAAATCACCTCCCCTTCCTTTCAACTTGAGGTGAACAGTGACTCCCTTGTAATGAATAGAGTGACACTGAGAGGCTTCTCAGGCTGGATTAGGAAATACAGCCTCCATTTATCTGGTTCTTCCTCTTTTAAGACACACATCTTGGCAAAACTAAGCCAAAAAATTAGGAGCCTGGCTGCCCTGTGGAAGTTTCTGGAAAGATCATGTGGAGAGACCACATAGAGACACAGAGAGATGCAGGAGGAGTTCCTTGTTTGGGTTTTCCCAGCCCAGGCATGAGACCTGTAGTGTGCAGGTCCAGCTCACTGCAAATACATGAAAGAACCAGTAAGAACCACCCAGCTGAGCCCTGGGAAGAGAACTTAAGACCCAAACTCAAAGTCACTTTACTCTTTTCTGCACATGATGCTACAAATTAAGATGTCAGTTTTTCCTATGAAGTTAAAGATGGATCCATTTTGGAGAGGATATACATTCAGCCAGCCCCAAATTCACAAAACATGTTATATTTCAAAAATGCATTTACATATCTGCTGTATAGAAATTAAAATAAAAGCTAAAACATTATTGAAATCCTTTAGGCTAAGTTTTCTTACTTATAAAATGTATCAATTGCAATAGCAGATAACTCAGGCCTCTTTGAAGACTGAAATTCAATAATTATATACTGTGCATAAGTTGTTTTTATGGCATGACAAGTTTTGTATCTAATCCACTAGAAATGAGGAAGGAAATACATCAAATGAACTATAATAAGGCTAAAACAGGGACATACATTAATGGAAGCACTGAGGCAGAGAAGACTACAACTAGAATTTACTATCAATATTTAATAAATATACATTAGTGACAATTTTAAAAGTAACTATCTACTTAAAGTCTAAGTATTGGTGTTTAGGTCAATTTTAAGACTAGAAATCAAGAAGTTTCTTTCAAAAAATGTACTAAAAGTATAACTGTCCTAGAAAAAATATCACCATAATGTAACTGCATGGAATGTGTATTTTATGCTACAACATTATATTTCAGGTTTTAAGACCACTAGTAATTCATACCAATCCCATTTAAATGTAGGTTAGTCTCTATACATTTCTATTTAAATTCAGGTTCGTAAATTAAATCAAGATGGCCTGAAGGGCTTCTTTTTATCCACTCTGAACTATTCACCCTGCAGTAATTTAAAGCCAAACCACAGTTAAAATTACTATTTCTTCTTAAGAAGGATACTTAAGGTGTATAGAAAGAAAAAATACTCTATTTTCCACCTATGTCCTAAGATGTTCCTTCTTAGAGCACAGTAAAGCATTCAATGAAGTTTTATTACTGAAATAAACAGTTAGAAAGAGATTGACATTCTGTCTCCAATGATATTTTTAAGCCAGTTCCACATGGAGGCTCTATCATTTTGTGTGTGTGTGTGTGTGTGTGTGTGTGTGTATAAGAATACTTAAATGTTACCAAAGAACTTTCAAAAGTAAACCTAGAACTATATAGTAATTTTAGTACTAAAATATGACACATTGAAATTGTAAATTGTGTAGTTATCTAGAAATGTATAGACAATTCCACTGACTGCTATACTTTGGAAAGTATCAATGAGTATATACAATTCTGATTCCTACCAGAATACGTGCTGTATTATTTTATTTAATAACAGACAATCAGTGAAGGCTGGAAATCACTCAACAATGTAGTTTGAAAGAGAGTTAATATGAAGAGGGACTGAAGTAAAAATAGAATTTACTTAATAAAAAGTGTGTATTAACCCATATTCTTACACTTTTAAACTTCCTCTCCATCTGATGCAATACACCTATCCAGATGTTTTTTCCACTGCTCAAAAACAGTTTTTAAACTCATAGAATTTGATGCCTTTAGTGCTCCTGCCATTTTTTGTTTCACCTCTTCCACACTGGCAAACTTTTCCCTTTAAGGACTTTTTTTTTTCATTCAGGGAAACAAAAATAAGTCTCTCTGAGGGTGATATCAGGTGATATCAGTATGGGGTATTGGGGATATGCCATGTTTGGTCAAAAACTGTTGAACATTAAGCGTAGTGTGGGCAGATGCACTCTTAAATCATCCATCATGAAATGGGCAAATGCATTAAAAGAATCTTCCCAAAAAATTCACTGAAGCTGAATGCAGCCTCTCAC